AGTAACACGTATGCGAGTTAATAAAACGTAATAAAAAAGTATAATTCCTATTCCAGTTTGTATGATTATAATTTACAACTACGTGATAAATTTTAATTTATATCACTAATTTTAAATGATAAAATAAAATCGTCCTACAGTCAGAACTTCGAGCTTCTCGATATAGATGCCCAGTCCTAAGGTGCAAGAGGGTTCTGACTCAGGGAGGGGGAGGGGAACCGCTGTGACGCCACGGGCCGTGAAATGTTAGCAGTACATGACAACGTGATTATCGGGCGGAGCTCTTTATCTACGGGGCCGACATAATGTCGGGAACGATTCGCAAGATCCACTCGAGTTGCCTTTTTAAGTGTAACTGAAGGCTTCGACAATAACTTGTTTGTTCTATCGTTTTTCTTTACTTATATTTACTGTATTATACGTAACCACTACATGACTAAAATTTAACTAACATACTTGGGATAGTTTTTTTTTTCATTATTTTATTATTTAAGGTAGAAGTTATTATTAAATTTATATTATTGAATAAAAATAAAAGTTGGAAACCAACCATAAAAAGAAATAATGAATTATAAGTAACAAGAAATAGAGGCCAAAATTAAAGCATTTTTATTTTACTAATTAAGAACTTTATTTTACTAATTAAAAAAAAGATTGATGATGTTTTTCCGGCTTATTTCAACATTGCAACCGATAACTTCCGGAAACTTTCGGAAGCTTTTTACTATGTGTAGGATTATAAAATTACCAACGCATACAAATACAGAGACAATGACATATTCATCAAGAGAGGTAGACACGAAAGTATGTTGTTTTACTCAAAGCGCAACCACGAACCACGTCATGCTAAGTTATGAGAGCTTTTTCGAAACCACTTACTCGATTTAAAATCACCTGATTTAGAAAAAATAAAAATGTGTTTTGTGTTTCATAAATATTTTTCTACCTTTTCTTTTATCTCCAACACACCTATCTGAAAACCTATTTCTATTATACTTATTGTAATCCTTTTGGTTGAGTTTCTTATCATTTTATTTTATTTAAAAAATCATTTCCAACACGTATATTCTGCTTTATCATAAAGGCAGTTTACAAACACAAATTGCACAAGGACAAACATCCAGACCAGGAAAATTTAATTGTAGGCCATACAAATACTTGTTCCGTGAGGGATTCGAATTCCCGGCCTTCAGCGCCGCAGCTTGAAAAATAGGACACTGCGCCTCGGACCCGTCAGTAATCTTAACTACATGTTTAAAAATAAAGAAACCATTGCAAAATTCTGTACAAAATTCGCTGCTTTAATAAAAAAAAATCTATACATTTTTTGTACTCAGGACAAAAACAATAAACTCAACAGCAGCGCCACAGTTCCCGCCATCGATCGACGAGCAAGCGATCCGAATAGGGGAGCGCGCGTGCGCGTCACTGCGCAGTAAACAATATGGACCCGTAGCACAACTTTTAAAATTCTCCCATACTTTTCGTATTGTGGCCATATTTCTAACTAAATTATGTTACTTACTAAGAATAATTGTTGGTTACGAACGTAACTGTATTGTAATGATTTTTTAATTAACATACATTAAACCTATATACATATGTACATTAAATATTATAATTTTCATTAATTTTTTTTCACTGACTGCCTCGTTGGTTTAGTGGTTGTAGTAGTGCGACTGCTGATCATGAGGTCCTGGGTTCAATCCCGGGTTGGGCCAAAAAATTAATTATTGAGTTTTTCTGTCAAGAAATTCTCTGTAGTTACCCGGAGTCAGGAAGTTAGCGGTGTCTCACCCCCTTGCCTCGAAAAGCACGTAAAGCGTTGGCGCCTGATCTCTCTCCGGTCGTGTCGGTTTACCGTCCCATCGGATTATGATAGTGAGCGAATAGAGAGTGCACCTGTGCTTGCACATACACTTGGGCACTATAATCCTGTCCTGCGCCGATAGCTAGCCTCCGTTGAGGTAGGCCGCCGTGGCCGAAATTCGGTCTGGAGGACATTATTATTATATTTTTCATTAATTACATTCATTACAAACCGTGTGGTGGCGGTGTAAGAATATCCACTACCCCACGTCATCCCTTGGGGTCGTAAAAAGCGACAGAGGAAAACAAATCAGGAGATGGGCTGCAGCGTCTCCCAATAACGACTAAAAACTGAAAACTGCGGTTACCAACACGCTTGCCAAACGTGGCAACTATGGCAAACATCTCCCTTATGAGACTTTTCTATAGTGGGGCTTATGTTCAGCAGTGAATTTGATATGTGGTAATGAATATTACTGTTATAGACTACTACCGTTATAGCTACAGTATTTTTAAGTTATTATTGGGAAAACGCTGCCGCTATCTCCTGGTTTGTTTCCCTTTGTCGCATCTTACGTCACCCACGGTACGATATGGGGTAGTGGGTTTCTTACATCGCCACTACACGGTCACTACGTATTAGACTACTTTCATACGTGGTAGAGCTACGCTGCAGCTATATTATGGTTGAATGAATTAAAGTTCCGCTGGGTTTCTTGCTGGTTCTTCTCTGGACAGAGGTTTTTTTCGAACCAGTGGTAAATTAAAATATTGACTTTCAATAAGAATTACTTGTAATCTACGTTGAATAAAAAATATTCTATTCTATTCTAATGGGTCCTCTCGACCGGGGAAGGTAATCCTCACATATAACCGGCGTAAAATAGCAGCTTAATGCTTCTGTATGTCGTGTGGTGAGTGTAGAGATCCGGAGACCCTATTTTTACTGGAAACGAGGCATTCCATCTTAGTCCTCAGGGGTGAGTGACAACGCATCTGCGTTTTGATTCCTAATCGAGGATAAATATAGATGTCTATGGGTCACAGCATTAACTTAGCATCAAGTGGACTGTGTGTTCGTTTGTCACCTCTATTCTAAAAAAACTACACTGTCACCAATTGTATAAGAAAGAAAATCACAGTCCCAAAAAGCCATTAACGTTTTATATAACTGTTTCGCTTGTAGATGATTAAAATAGTAGAAACTTCCAGTTTTACTTAAAGATTAAGTAACTAATCTCTTAAATAACCGCTAATTGCTTATTTATTCTTTATTTTTATATCAGTCACAATCACTATCACAGATCGAAAGCATGCCCTGACACCTAATCGTCTCTAGCTGTAAATACCGTGGCATTTACCTACTCGTATAACCGAATTATATGACACCCATAATAGGATGGAATGGGTGGGTACTACACATCACTCGTATTCATGAATCTTCATAATCATCAGTACAGCGCACTATAAGACCACCGCCGAACATAGACCTCATTCAAAAATTTAATTAATGCAAAGTGGAGCACTCTTATGTATGCATATAAAAAGGGCACTTTTGTTGTTATTAGAATGATCTTCTTTTGTAAGATTTGCCATAATTGCCTCGTTTTGCGAAGAGATTTGTGATGGAACTACTAAATGTTTTGCACTATACTTTGCTCAACGTTGTCAGTTTGGATATTTTACCATATCATACCATAACAGCATACAAAAGTCCCCTGCATAACATAGGCCCATAGATTGTCTGATAGGTCGTTAGGGAACAGCAGTTTTTATATATTCGAAGTTTTTTTTTCTGTTTTTTATAGAATAGGGTGACAAACGAGCACACAATCCACCTGATGGTAAGTGGTTGCTGCGGCCCATAGACATCTACATCTATCCTCCATTAAAAATCAAAATGCAGATGCGTTGTCACCCGTGAGGACTGAGATGGAATGCCTCGTTTCCAGTAAAAAGGGTCTCCGGTTCTCTACACTCACCATACGAAATACAGCAGCATTAAGCTACTATTTCACGCTGGTATTCTGTGAGAGCGTGGTCCTTCCCCGGTCGAGCCGACCCATTCGTGCTACAACTATACTACTAATATAACTGCAGCATGGCTCTACCACGTAAAAAACTTTACAGTACAGTTACAGAAAGATGCTTATTTCCATCTACCAGTTTCAGTTTCCGTCAGTCGTCTCTTATGACACCGACGGAATGATATAGGGTAGTGGATATTCTCACACCGACACTACACGGTCACGGCCAGGATATTTTACATCTAATTTATTATATCATACCACCATCGAAGGCTATGAGAGACTCTTTTATTCTGCAATATTATCTCCTTGACGCTCACGGGGAGAACACTCTGATTATCTTTGTATTTATAAGATATTTAGTTATAAAAATATTTTTTGTCCACAGAATCGTGCCGGCCGCACGGATAGCACTGGCCAAGTCTGTCGCCCTATGCGTCGCTACACTACAGCCAACAAGTCAACCAAAACACACGAATTCCTCAAACCAAAGCCTCCAGTCATATCTTTTGTTTCGAAAAAAAAAATAATATTAAGCACTATTTTTTTAAAACCTTTTTAACGATAAAAATAAAAAAGTAAAAATTCACATAGTATACGCTAACTCCCAAACAGTACAAATTAATTTAAGTCTGAATTAATCGGTATTTACAATAAAAAGAAGCCTTCGAATGAGCAAAGTTTAGAAGAGAATCTATCAACGACCAGTATTTAAACGTTCCAAAATAATAAAGAAATCGTTAATCAAGTGCACAAAGTATTTTATCGTTAGTTAACAAATAAAAGAACCGATTCCTCGAGCATTTTCTTAATAAAAAGAAGTCAGCCAAAGATTTTATAAGCCCGTAATGTTAAGGCTCATCTAAGTTTAACTACCTGTTATTAAGGATTTTTATAAAATTTATTTCATAGTGAGCAAACGAATATATTGTGATTAGTGTAGTGTAAACCGGTGTGCCGTATAATCGTAACTTAAGTGCTATTTAGAGTTAAAACGAACTTTACGAAGCCAGATATTAAAAGTACAAATTAGAAAGTTCCAGTGAAGTTCCGAGTGTTCAGTACAACATAGACATAGACTTAGTTTAGAGCTTATTTTTGTATTTGTGGTGAATTCGGAACGCGGAAGAGTGACGCGATGCGGTTACGTAGAGAGAACACGTCATGAGCGAAACGCTCAGGAGTGAGGCGGGCGCGGATAACGCGCATTTGCCGCCCTTCTCGACGTTCGGCGAAATGGCAGAAAACGAGCAGAGGATACTCACAGCGGACGGCCGACTGCTCGATCCGGCCTGGGAATATTACGAGAGAACCGGTGACACGGTTTCAGTCATCGCGAGCCAGCCGCAATATCGACCGTGGGAGTCGATGCCGATTACAGTCAACTCGAAGGATGCGATACTACGAGCGGGCTTCTCTTCACCGCTCGACTCTTACCAGTCGGTCACATTGCAGCCCATACCTAACAAGCTGCCGTCCTTTCAGAGCCAATTCCAGACGTTTCCAGAGACGACCGTGATACCGGAGACGGGTCTACCAAGTGTCACCCCCGTGCCGGTAACAGCCAGCCCGACGCCCAGCGCGAGTCCTAGTCAGTTAACCCAGCTCACGCAGCTCACGACGCCATCGTCTCCGGCACATTTGACCACGTTGGCGCAGGTCACGCCTTTGTCAACTACTCTGACAACCTTATCGCCAGTAAACGCAACAACATTCCATACATTAACAGCTGTTAACGCTAGAAGTTATCCAATTGTGCCAGCGCCTTTACAAGCAAGAGAGCTAGCCCCAGCGGGGCAAACTTATATTGATGACCGACATATACAACTCTATCAACCTAATATCGCTACAATCAATGCTTTTCCAACTCAAAATGGCATTCTACATCAGAATGGAACTCTTCTTCATCAAAACGGAAGCCTAATACAGAACATCCAAAGTCCTACAGTCGTTCACGTTCTGAAAAATGAGCCCTTCGATATGAAAGCTCTACAAGAAAAATACACGCCGAACGGGCTACATCACAGTAATTTCCAAAACCCCATGTTATTAGACAATGGATATGATAAAAAAACAAATGGTTTTGGAAGTGCATCGTCTCCAACGAGATCAGATTACCGTAAGAAAGAGAGACGGAAAATGCGCGCAAACAGTTCCGAGTCTGACGGATCCAATATGGAAGTAGGGTCTGAGAGTAGCGGCCAAGTCGCTGCTGTATCTTCGACTGCAGGCTTTAAATCTCCAATGCATGGAGCGCCACCTATGACGACTGGACCTATGGAGTTGGATGACATAACCAGTGAAAAACAGGTGAGTTATACTTTATATTTTATTTTTAACTGCAAGGCGTATTAAGGATTTGTAACGTAATGTACTCGTAACTATTGACTTATACTAACCAAATTAAGTATTGATATAATATATTTATAATTATTGACATCAAAAAAAATTAAAAAAAAGAATTAAAAATTCCTTAACATGTCTATTTAATGACTCGACTCCGCCGTTTTTCTTTTTAATTGTTAGTTACACACGATTTTTATTAAGATATACGTGTTTTAGCTATAGTACGAATGGGTCGGCTTGATAAATAACCACCGCTTACATAATACCATCCTAAGTAACCAGCATAATACTGTTGTGTTTTGTTTGATGAGTGACGAGAATCAGACCCTTTTTACTGGTAATGAGACACTTCATCTTAATCCTGAAGGAGGGGGTGGGCCATGACAACGCATCTGCATTTTGGTTCTTCATGGAGGATTAATATAAAACTTTTAAGCATTGATGAAAGATTAATTTGGGAAACACGAAATATGACCGTAATTTATACGATACGAGAAATCCACAAATTCTATCTAGTTACCTACACACTGTCGAAGTAGATATTCGAGAGATCCCGGAAAAGAGAAACTTTCTCAGTAATTCCACCTTTTATTATTCGGGGAGCAGTTTTTATTCTCGAGCCTCCGAGTTGCGAAATGGACGAACTCTCTGTCTTCGCGGCAATAAATTTAATAGTTAGCCGATTCGCTTGCTCCGCCGATAAATTAACTTCCATTCTCATTTAAAATACAAATTAAAGTCGGACGATTTACGCGTGTCCTGCTTAGAAAATTTTATGAGTTTCATTCAAATTTAACGGCGGGCGTAATTAGGCGGCAGTTTTGAGAAGCACTATGCATTATTGCTATGTAGCTTGTTGAATTTTATCGCAAGCAAAATGCTGTTCGCACACCTTTTTTACACGGCATAATATATGACCATCTTTAGAGACTTAGTAAGTAATATATTACTGATTTATGGGCGTCGCTTGTGACTAAGACGAGTGGTAATGGCATATCCCTGGTATTTCTCGGTAATTTGCAATTCGAATTGATGTAAAAGAATATTCTAACGACTATGCAAGATCAAATATTCTTTTAATAATAAATATTAGCATTTCCCTCTCTAACAACAAACACATTTGCTGGTGCAGCTGCCAGGTTATCGTGGATAAATGTTTACGAAACTGTTTTTTTTAAGATGTTAGAAGCAACAGCTACAGGGATATAATAGTTAAATGAAACTACTATGATGTACTTAGTTGTCTACGTGACATTATTAAAAGCGATTTAACGAAGCACCTGCGTTGTGATGTACTTACAAAGTAAACAATCGTAAATATCATTCGTTAATAATGTACTGTTTTAATAAACTTTTGAATGATAGTTTAGTGTTTTACTCCATTTTGAAAAAACTAATATCTATTAGCAGTTCATCCAACTTGTTCTTGTCTATGGTACCGAAATGTGGACTGACAGTGCACAGTTTTTTAAAAACAAAAGAAAAACTACTAAAGACTTTATACGTTATCACAAATGAGTCGGCTAAATCGGCTAAAGACCACGCTTTCACAGGATACTAGCGTAAAATAGCCCCTCAATGCTGCTATGTTACGTATGGTGAGTGTATATAACTCACCATTTGTTTGAGCAGTAGGAATTACTGCTTTACTTTTATTATTATCTTTACCTGTTTTAGCTGGTGCTATTACAATACTTTTAACAGATCGAAATCTTAATACCTCATTCTTTGATCCTGCAGGAGGTGGAGATCCTATTTTATATCAACATTTATTTTGATTTTTTGGACATCCAGAAGTTTATATTTTAATTTTACCTGGTTTCGGAATAATTTCTCATATTATTTCACAAGAAAGCGGAAAAAAGGAAACTTTTGGATGTTTAGGAATAATTTACGCTATAATAGCAATTGGTTTATTAGGATTTATTGTTTGAGCTCATCATATATTTACTGTAGGAATAGATATTGATACTCGAGCTTATTTTACTTCTGCAACTATAATTATTGCTGTACCAACAGGTATTAGAATTTTTAGTTGATTGGCAACATTACATGGTTCTCAAATTAATTATAGACCATCTATTCTATGAAGATTAGGATTCCATCTTAGTTCTTAGTGGTGACAACGCATCTAAATTTTGATTCCTATTATTCATCATAGATGTAAATGTCTATAGGTCGCAGTATTCACTGTCCATTAGTTGCTAGCTTGTCACCCTTATTGTATATAAAAATACTTGCATAGTAGAAGACAAGCCATGTAATGTTCAAAATTTTTTAAGAACATCTCAGACAGGAAAAATTATTTTGTTACAATTTTTCACCTTAAATGATTAAAATTTGTATATTTCTATATGATTATATTTGTTTTACAATATGAAATTACACCGTTGTGGTACACCGCGACACTGTAATTTTCACTTTAAAAAATCATGGTGATACATTTCATATTCGTATTTATGTAATGTGAAAATAAGAACCATTGTCCTGTACACCGTTAAAAGACTGACTTTTACCGATTATTCCATGTTCAAAAGTATGTATATAATAATATTATAAAGATTCTATCAAAGTACTCATTATCCGCACGCGAAAGCTTAAACTGCAATGTTACTTCAAAGAAGCCGTTAAACTTAAGTTACACATTATTATACTTGTGTATGTAAAATTCTTATAAATTATACATAAAGAACAAAACAAAAAGCTTAAGTGTCTACCTAATATACATTGACAAACATACAGTATACATACAATGTAGATTGTAGAAAATTGATAAAAAAATAATTATATACCACCTAGTTTATAAAGCACCTTTCATCTTGGTAGATACTCTCGAAATTTTATACGTGGTAGAGCCATGCTGCAGTTATATTAGTAGTATATTTGTAGCACGGATGGGTAGGCTCGATTGATGTAGGACCACGCTCTCACAGAATACCATCGTAAAATAGCAGCTTAATGGTGCTGTGTTTCGTATGGTGAGTGTAGAGAATCGGAGACCCTTTTTACTGGAACCGAGGCATTCCATCTCAGTCCTCAGAGCTGGCACCGCATCTGCATATTGATAAATGTACATATCTATGGGCCACAGCAACCACTTACCATCAGGTGGACTGTGTGCTCGTTTCTCACACTATCCAATAAAATAAATAGCTATAAATTTTGTCAATTGAATTTTACCTAATAATTTTCCCCAAAGCCACATGATTCTATTGATTAGTACAATCTTAACAAATGACCTAGTATTTACAATACCGGCAATATGTTCTAAGATACTTATTAAATTAAAAATAATAATGATTAAAAACCTTTTACAAAAAATTTATCGATCTTTTAACGTTATAAGTCGTATTATCATTTTAAGTCGAGAGGTTCCGGATTTTCGTATTTCTTTTTTGCGAAACGTGCATATCAGGTATCGTATAATTTCGTTATAATAGTAACAGAATTCGTCCTTACCGATACACGATACTTGTATTCGGTACGAGATGTATCATATATTAGGTTTTTACGGGATGGGTCGTATCAGATACGGAATCACGAAGGCGTATCACGTGAACCGCGATAATTTTGCATCCAAACTTGTTTGTGATGCACGTCTGCGCCTTGTGACGGAGCTATGATACACCAAGATGATCAAATATAAACCCGACACACTATATATACTTTTTTATTACGTCTTTAATTGGATTCGGAAACTAATAGGCATTTGGCTAAATTGACATGTACTCGTAATGTTTTTCAGACCGAATTCCGGTCTAGACGGCTATTCTCAACAGAGACTAATCATCTGTGCAAGACGAGATTATAGTGTATATACGAGTGTACGCATAGCGCAGGTGCACTCTCTGTTCCCTCACTCTCATAGTCTAATGTGACGGCTATCTGAGACGACCGGAGAGATATCAGGCGCAGGACCAACGACCTCACGAGTTTTTCAACGCATGATGGTGAAACACAATTGACTTCTAATTCCGGGCTGATACTGCGAATATCTTGACAGAAAAACCCAATAAGAAAATCGTTTTTGCCCGACTTGAGATTTGTACCTGCGACCATGTGCTTTTTTATGGAAGAGGAGGCAAACGAGCATACGTCTCACCTGATGGTAAGTAATTGCCATAGCCCATGAACACCCGAAATACCGAGGGAAATGTAGGTGCGTTGCAAGCCTTTTAGAAAGAAGCAGTCGCGCTTAAGACGTACGTGGTAGAGTCACGCTGTAGCTATGTTATGGCTGTAGCACGATTGGTTCGTCTTCACTGGTTAGGACCACGCTCTCACAAACTACCAGCGTAAAATAGCAGCTTAATGCTGCTGTGTTTCGTATGGGGAGTGTAGAAAACTGGAGACCCGTTTTGATGAAAACAAGGCATTCCATCTTAGTCTTCAGTGGTGAAAACACATTTGCATTTTGATTCTTAATCGAGGAGAAATGTAGGTGTCTATGGGTCGCAGCTTTCAGTTACTATCCAGTGGGCTGTGTACAGGTTTGTTACCCTTATTCTATAAAAAATGACCACTATACAAACATTTCGGCCAGGTCTAAGAAACTACATGTAAGAGAGTAAGAAATTATACTGCGAGAAGAGTTGAAAGTTTCAGGACTTTTTAGTTATTGTCTTTCCCATATACATTGCATCCATAGGTAATCTAGTAATTATAAACAAAAATAACGAAAAAAAAAGTTTTTAGTTCAACAAATATTGAATCGTTGTAGTTCACTTATTTATTAAGAATAGATAATAATAACATATATTAACATAACTTATTTTACATTTTCAAAATGGGTCTTTAGTTTGATTATGTTTGTTTTCTTTATTACTAGCGAACTGCCTGGTTTCGCGTGAATAAATGTATTAATATGGCATTATATAGATTTGAAATAATCCTCCAAGACCATTCATTCCATCTAATATCTAATTGTAAAATCTGTTGCCTAGCAGTCCACATACCTAGTTATT